TAAACTGTTCTTCCTAGAGGTCCAGTAAGGGTCATCTCTTATTGATCCAGTGTTACTACAGGAGGAAACCTAAACTAAACTAACTTTATTTATACTGGATAGCTCTATCAGTTCTAAACTGTACTTCCTAGAGGTCCAGTAAGGGTCATCTCTTATTGATCCAGTGTTACTACAGGAGGAAACCTAAACTAAACTAACTTTATTTATACTGGATAGCTCTATCAGTTCTAAACTGTTCTCCCTAGAGGTCCAGTAAAAGTTATCTCTTATTAATCCAGTGTCACTATACAGGAGGACATTTAAACTACAGTGAACTAACTTTATTTATACTGGATACTGTAGCTCTTTCAATTCTAAACTGTTCTCCCTAAATGTCCATTAAGGATCATCTCTTATTGATCCAGTGTTACTACAGGAGGAAACCTAAACTAAACTAACTTTATTTATACTGGATAGCTCTGTCAGTTCTAAACTGTTCTTCCTAGAGGTCCAGTGAAGATCATCTCTTAACGATCCAGTGTTACTACAGGAGGAAACCTAAGCTAAACTAACTTTATTTATACTGGATAGCTCTGTCAGTTCGAAACTGTTCTCCCTAGAGGTCCAGTAAGAATCATCTCGTGTTAATTCAGTGTTACCGCAGGAGGAAACGGGAGGTCTGGGAGAAAAGCTGCGGGTTTGGCTGTCAAACTGATGAAATTATAACCAGGCAACTAAATACTGCTGGAACCGAACTCTGGTCGTTGAAATTAGAGGCACATACGCTACAGTTATCACCGTGTCTTCCCTCTCACTGAACCAAACGCCTCTTTCCCCGCAGGCGAAACGCTCGAACGTGGACTGTATCATATTACCAGAAGCAAATCGGAAAGATTTTGAAGAATTACAAGATTTCATTAAAGAGGGACTGGAAGTTCATTTCGTCAGCGAGTACAGGGACGTATTTCAAATTGCTTTTCCACAACATGCCTAACGCACACAATGTTCGCAGCCTTCCGCGCATGCTCTTATCAAATTTAAATGGGCTAACAATTTTAATGCCATACACAAAGTAGATAAAAATTGCGAAAACACAGGATAGAACAATAGGCAAGTGGAACGCTAAACCGCCCGAAAAAACCCGTTGCAATCTTCTTGTCATATAAGAAAGGCCACTAGTATTTTTGAATGAGATTTGACCAATGAAATAACTGCAATTTCAATAAATGGACTAAACCGTCGGAATATTTTTGAAACTGCAAAATACTTGTGTCTTTTCTCTATGCGGAAGTAGTCGCAAGTTGCCTTGGCTAATAAATTTGCCTCATTTTCACATGTGAGTGTTTCAGTACAAGCCAGGTTTTCGGTATTAAGCCTGATTACAGTTCAGCGTTTTTCATACACACATGTCGGAAACGTTTAAGTCCATTTAAAAGTTTCTTATGAGACAATTAAATGAATAAAAAGGCAGCATTTTTCTTGGTGTATACATAGTTAATAGAATAGATGGTTCATGGTTTAGAAACTCATTATAATAAAACTATAATTTATGTAACTCATTATCAACATAGATAATGAGTTATATTGTTATTCTAATGAGTTTATAAACCATCTTTTATTAACCATGTACAAGAAATGCCTCATTACTGGAAAACAGATTTAACAGTGATGACCCCTAAATGACCTCTACACCAGGAAGAACAGTTTAAAATAAACTGACAGTCCGATATAAATAAGACTAATGCAAGTACTTGGTTTTGACACGCATACCAAAACAGCATCGAAATAAGCGAAGCGTAAAATATATGCAAAGCGAGAATGGCAAATATTCAACATCTCATTATAAAATCCTAGACATGCATTGTGCATGACATCATGTTCCGGTGTCTGTTTATGTGTCATATGATACTTTACTTTCGATTCAGATAAAATATTTTTGATGCAGCACAGTTGCTTCAAAATTAGACCTCTTCGCTTGTAAAAGAATTCGCTGGAAAGTTTACTACGAGCTACGTTTGTTTTGTTAACAGAATAAAGAAATATGCCTTGATTTGGAGCTGTTGTTGTGAGCTACAGTATTGAGACTATATATTTCTCATACTTTGTCTTGCTGAAATTATTAACGGGAAACATTCAGTATTGAGCCTAAAGTATTGTGACGTTGCAGGTTTGTTTTGCCGTCGATAGAACACAGAGAAACACAGTCTGTGTAAATTTAATAGTATTAATGGCAGAATATTTCGGGCAACCTGAAGCAGACGAATTCACACATTTGATGCCAGTGGATGATGCTGAAATTTCTCAAGGTATACTGCCTTTAAATTTTGGATTTCCTGTTTCAAAATGATGTTAGACCACTGTCTTAGGGTCATCCAAATACTCTCGAGAATGAATTTTGTTTTCTACTTTATAAACACTTTGTTTTCGCTGCCTTTCTGTGAGTATACCTTGTGAATAAATCTAACTGAATTAATCTACTCAACTCGACTTTCGTTTGGAATTTACTCAGTTGTATAATATT